TTAACCCGAGAAAGATAACCTACGTCGCAGAGGCACCTGCGAAGACTGTTGATTTTTGTTAATTTTTCATAGAGGTCTAGTGATTTAAGTTTAAAATTACTTAAAATATAAAAAAATATAATATAAATGCATTTTATTTTTACAATAATGCCAAACCTTTAAAATGACCAGATTAACTTAAATAAATATCCATTGTTAGTATAAAATTGACGCCTTAGAAAAGCATGCGCCTCTGAAGCGTATGGTTATCTTTTACGTACGTTGTCATATGGTTATCTTTCTAGGGTTAAATGTTCGCGTACCCTCGAGCGAGGCTAGCAAGTAATTAGGTGAACAAATAAGCATCGTGGTGGGGGACAGGTAGAAATCAATCGAGGATCGAGCTTAGTTAGTATTCGGTTGACGGTGACCTGGAGCACGTCGGGAAAAGTTCCCGCTGCTTTCTCGCGGTTTTGTTCGCTCCTGCGCCGGGAAAAGTCCGTCTGTGCGTCCGACTGTGTCCGTGTGTAAGCGAGTGCGTGTGTCTCGGTGAATAGCGACAGCGTGGAAGTTCCTGAAAGTAGCATAACACACAGGTAAAATATTCGTTCGATAACAGTGCCGTTTCTTCGGGAAAAATTCGCTAAAGGTATTTTCACTTCCATCTCGGCAATCCAATTTGTCTCTTCCGCTGTTCAATAATTCTTCGATCTATTTTCTTCGCGAATATCCCGTCGAGCGTTGTTCGTTTATTTTCGGTATTAACATTTGTTCATCGCGGAAAATGCAAATCGAGTCGATGAAAAATAACTAATTACATACGAATCGAACTCGTTAACGGATTCGAGAAAAAAATTGTCGCACCGGCAACTTCAACGAAATTTTCGTTCACTTCATTTCATACTTATTTTCCTACGTTTCTCTTGGATAAATTGTAAAGCAGCGTCGTGAAGATATCAAGAATATTTGTCAGCGTGCTCAGCGATGCAGAACAATCGAAATCGATATCTACATTTATTTTCGATTTCTCCGAACGGATTTTCAGGAATTCCTGCGCGAGAATGTAAAACTGTGCAGAGATACAGTTTATGCGTCTTTAATAATACTCGACTGATATACTAGCACCGAGATGCCCACGGTGGATACAATATTGTTTAGGAATATCGCATAAGTCTCGCGGGACGTAGCCGAGCGTGCGAGGCAGAAAAAGAATAGAAGAAGAATCGTGAGATTCTCGATGAGGCTCTCGAAAATCTATTTTGAAAGCATGGAAGGCAGCCGATGCCAGCTCCTTAGCCGTCGAAATCGGTGGTGCAGGGTCCGAAACGGAGCGCGTATTTCATCCACTTGTCGCGTATCTCGGTCGTTCTCGTCGATATTCGACGTCGGAGAGCGTGCCGGCGCCGTCACGGTGCCACGCTCTCATTAATCCCGACCGGCCAGTCGTCATTAACGAAATAAACGGCAGCCCCGCACCTTCGGCAAAATCCGACGGACCCCGTTTCACCCGCGCGTCACCGTTAACCACGATTTTTTCGATCGTCTCGTGCGTTGCTCTGTTCGCCGGATTCCTCTTGTTTCCAATTCTGTCGTAAATCGTTCTCGTTTGATCCTGGGATTCGCTCGGTATGCTCGAAAAGAGGGACTTTTGTTATTTTCAAAGGAACTCTATCAATCATTAATCAAAAGAACTCTGGATATTGTATCGCGATATTCAACTGGTCTCAATTTAATAATTTATTTGTCGAAATCACTTCAGAAAAAAGTCGAGTTTTATGTTGATCGACGTATGATACAATTATTTAATCATTTAACCCTTCGCACTCGGAAGGTCTTTTTGGATATACCTGCCAGCAAATGATACAGCTCGGAGAGAATTTGTTGAGAATGAAAAGAAAGAAAGGAATGAAAATTGTAACTCTTACCCACTTTAACAAAAATAAATTAACCAACTACAAAGTCGAATTGAAGTAAAAATCATTACACTGCTGTGAAATTGTATAGGAATTCATGAATAAGAGATTTTGTTTTTTATTTATATATATTTTACATGATAAAAACATAATACCCAAAAAGACGAACATGTTTGTTCACACGAGGGAGCAATTTTTCGAACAATAATTTCTGTCCGAATCTCAAAGTGCTATCTATTCAACGAATTTTCGTGTTCCGAGAGTAGCGAATATTTCTTAATTCTGACAACAAAAATTGTTAGGAATCGTGTCGAATTTTGTATTTTGCTAGATAGCCTACGTTTCTGGAAGGAACTGTATAAGCGCGAAGAAAATGATGCTTCACGCGCTAAGAAAAATACGCTAAAATACAGGGAGCGCTATTCAATTTACGATGAACATGGTGGATGGGTAAAGAGAGAGGTTTTAGGGGATGAAAGGACGCTAGACATCGAAAACCCTCGTCCGCCTGTGGAGAAACTCTCTGTGCACAGTTTATTGCCGCCTGTTGCTGAACGTCGCCGAGCGTCGCCGCGAGAAAAATACTTTCTCCGTGAAGGAGGACTAAGATCGGATAATCTCTAGAACAAAAACTAGCTTGCAGAGAAAACGGGAGCAGCGGTACAATGGAGACACTCCGATACAATTGTTTCGCCAGCTTGAAGTCTCCGTAATTTAGGGGATAACTATCACGAATGGGACACTTTTATTTATAACAAGATAACAAAGAAACTAAACGACCTATCCAATTTTAGTTTGAAGTATTTGAAAGATCAGTTCTTTTGCTATAAAAGTGTTTAGTATCAGTGAGTTTCATCTACGTTTACTTGTTTTATTTTTAATTTTTTTTGGAGGGTGCATTTTGTCCCATTCATCAATTGGTGATCTTTTTTATTGCGTTTGTTTTGTGGATTCTTCAACAAAGTTTGTTTTTTATTTTCCTGTTAACTAAATTATCTTCAAAAACCTCGCTAATACGTTTGAAATTTTCTTTATTGTTTATTGCACTAGTTCTCTCAAGCCCATTCATAAATTTGACAACAACGTTAAAATTTGAACTTGTTCAATTACTACGATAAAAAATGACAATTCGTAGCTATATGACAACATTCTCGAAGGAATATCTGATGGAATGCAACAAATGAAAACTCAGTCAAAAGTCGCGGCGCTT